TAAAATCTGCACGGCCCATTCGAAATCCTCGTCGAACAAGAATCACATCCTAGCAGAAAGAGCCGATACTCTGTTGTTCTGCCTTAGACAAAGGTATCCCGAGCTTTCGCAAACTACATTGGACACGAGCAAAATACAATACAACAAGGCAAGTCTTCTTCTCATCTTTTTTCTTTTGCTTGCTTTTCTTATTTTTCGACATAACGGCATTCTCATTTTAAGTTACGAATATTTCGGAATAATTAATTCAAGAAAGATTCTAATAATTAAATTGGAGTTTGTCGTAATTTGGACATGAGCCAAAATCAAATGAAACAAGTGAAGTGTTCTCATGTTTTCTTTTGATTTTGCTTTTATTTTTCGATATGACGACATTCTCATTTTAACTTACTAATATTTTGGAATAATTAATTCAATAAAGATCTTAGTAATTAAAATGGAGTTTGTCGTGAAATCAAATAAAACAAGTGAAGTCTCCTTTTCTTTTGCTTTTTTTTTTTTTTTTGACATAACGACATTCTCAATTAAGTTACGAATATCACGGATTGTTTCAAGAATGATTTTTATGAATAGTTTAAAGTCAGATCCCAAGTATGTTCTTATAGTTAAGCGGAATTTGTCGTAATCGGACACGAGCAAAATCAAATGAAACAAGGGAAGTCATCTCATCTCTACTTTTGCTTGCTTTGCTTTTCGACATGACGAAATTTCTCATTTAAGTTACGAGCATTTTGGAGAAATTGAAGACATAATTTGTAAATAGTTATAACTAGACCCCATGTATATTTTTATAATTAAACGGAATTTTGTCGTTAGAATCTCTCTCTCTCTCTCTCTCTCTCTCTCTCTCTCTCTGAAAGAAAGAAAACGAATGAAATCGGGCTTCGATACGTATTGTTTGCAGGATGTAGGGCAGGCAGTGCTGGAGAGCTATTCAAGAGTATTGGAAGGTTTGGCATTCAACATTGTGGCTTGGAGTGAGGATTTAATCTTTGTAGATAAAACCATGAAAAATCAGGTGTAGATATATGTATGTTACTCTGAAGCAAACAGTTTAATTTTGTACCAAGTAAATTTTGATGTAGCTTGGCAATGTATAAAACTTTTACTATTTTTTTTTTTTTTTATTTTGTTTCTTCAAAAATGGAGGGCCAAATTTATTATTGTAATATCATGAAATTTGTCTCACCAATTTACCATGAAAAATAGCATGAATATATTGACATTTTTGTTTAGGTTGCTTGAATTTTCCCCCTAGTTTTTATATTTATTTAATATTAATATAGGTTGCACGAAATAAATTTTCCTTATAATTATAGCCCTAAATTCTTTATGTTGTTACGTATTTTTAACTATTGATTATGATTATTTAAAATTATTATCTTATTACTTTCACGTTATATCGACTTTAATCAATACATTTTAAATTATTAAATAGTCACCAACCTAAACTTCAACTCGATAACTTTTTTGAATCTTAACCCAGTTATATCGACTTTAATCAATACATTTTAAATTATTAAATACTCACCAACCTAAACTTCAACTCGATAACTTTTTTTAATCTTAACCCACTTTATTCCAGAAATCAAATTCAATCCAAAAGAATTATTTCCAATAACACTAGGGCGGAACGAAACTGAGCCGAAACAAAAAATCAGATCCGAACCGATGTGTTCGATTTTTCAAGGGTTCGGTTTGTGGTGCGGTTAGAATTTTGAAAAACCGCAGAAAAATCGGTGCAGTTCGGTTTTGGATTCGCGGTTTTATCCGGACCGCACCGAACATGTTAAACTGTCTTTTTTTTTTTGGGCCTAGTTTTTCAATTGATAGAAAGTGAAATCCACTTTCGTCTCTCAAGTTCATCTGTCTCTCACATTCCACCGGCTGCTCATACCTACGCTCGTCTCGTCGTCACCGGCCTCAATTTAAGTCAGCTCTCACTCTCTCTTTCTTCTTCTTTGGGGAATTTTTATATGTTAAGCTTGTTATGCAATTTGGTGGGACTGATTATAAGCTGCTGAATGCAAGTTTCGTGAATATTTTTGAGTTGATTTTGTCAGAGGATTGTTTCTGTGCCTTTGATATGGTTTTCCATCTTTTGTTGCTATGTTAATGCATCTGAGCTTAATCGATATCATATGGTGAACTTTGATATGAACACTGTGAGTTGCAGATGGATTAAAGCTGGTAGCTTTAAGCCTTTAACAGTACTTCATATCTAGTTTCTGTGTGAAGCTGTGACTGAGATCACTATGTACTCTAATCCTCACTTGAAGGAAAATATTTCACTATCCGAACGAACTTTAGTTTGTAGATTGGCGATTCGTTACATATGGGATAGTATTTTAAAACAGCAAAATTCTGTTCTTGATTTGGTTCCTGATTACTAGGGTTGAAAAATCGTTATAATGTGATATCGTGTCGTGTTCGGTTTTTTACTATCGTGTTTTATCTACTGATCTGATTGTTTTTAACTTTCTAATCCATCAAGATTTATTCTTGGAAATCGGCAAACTGCAGAAAAAGAGCATGTAATGGATCAATGTTGATACTTTTCTCTTGTTATTATTATTGTTATTTTTTTTCTAAATTCCCGATATTTGATTCATACATGTGTTATTCTGATTAAGAACACCGCTAATTGTCAGGTGTATCAAAATGACTACTTGTACTGAAAAGGATCCGAAAAATAAACCACAGCCGCAATTAGTGAGGCTGGACAGAGCATTCAAACTGGTAATCATATATTCAAATCCTGAACATTTTTATTTACGAAATACCACCCCAACAATCTTCACTATTTGAAACACCTCCTTATTAATGATTATTTTGTAGTTTTGAAAGTGAACTTTGTTTCGTTTTGTGGTGTGTGTGTGTGTGCTTGTGTGCTTATGTATAACTTAAAGGGTAATTTCTGTATTTATCCCTATTATACGTCCTCTGTGCAGGCTGAACAGTGGGTTAACAATATGAGTAAATCCTCAGTGGATACGAAATCGACTTCTGTAGATTTGGAAGGGCGTCCGGCTGGGTTAGTCCATTTGCATACAGAGGATTTACTGGTTTTTTTTTGTGAAGTATAGATGGATTCATTTTTTATTATATTTTATTTTATTATTTCTTTTTTCTGGTTTTGAAGACTGGGTATTGGTGCAACTGTTCCTAAGGAGTCTAGAGTCACACGTTCTGATAATCCCGTCGAGAGAAAATTGATTGCCACATTGAATGCTAACAAAAAGAAAGCCATCACGAAAAATGAGGCTCCATCTGCAAAGGTTGAAAATGTCCTTGACGAGGAAAGTGACGAGGACGAGTCGGAAAGTAAAACGAGATCTTTTACCAAGAAGAGACCACAGGGTTTCTCACATTCACTTCTACAATCTAAAAAGAAGCATAAATAATCGGGCATACTGTGTGAAGGAATAGCAGTATTTTTAAGTTTTTAACTGTTTAGTCTGCTCCATAACTTTTTGCTAAGGACATTTTCTTTTCCTCATTAATATGTGGTATGTAAAAGTGTGAATCTTTTGTTCCTGTGTGAAGGAAGAGCAGTGTTTTTAACTGATTTGTTTGCTCCATAACTTTTCACTAAGGATATTTTTTTTTTTTTTTAAGTGTGAATCTTTTGTTCCTGTTATATTTTATATTTTAGGGAGATGTTACGGTGCCGTTACGGATCCCTTACATCGAGATTTGTAACCGTTAGATCAACTATCTCCGATGGTTACAAACCCCGGCAGAATGGTTCCGTAACGAAACCGTAACATTTCCCTATATTTTATTCTTGGTAACAAGTTCAGATAAGCTCCATAACACAAAAGTTCAAATTAAGTTAAAACTGAAGTTCAACTAAACACATATATTGTACAAGTTAAAGGCATTACAGCCTTTACAGGTGAGGATGGAAAAATGAAATACAAAACTCAGATGTTTTCTTTACAAACCCGAAAACCTATGTGCAAACCAAACAAAGATGAAAAGACAACACACAAACTGAGTACAAACAAAACAAAACCAAAACCAAAACCACACCAAAACACACAAGGGGACCCATTATTCCTCATTCCTACGTTCTTGCACAAAAAATCTCACTACATAGTAATGTCATAAGATTTTGGTGACCCTTACCGAAATCCCCACCCGAGGCCATGCGAGCCAAAAAAAGTAACTCCCGAGACCACTCAACACAAATGTAGTTTGAAACAAGTCGGTTATTACACTCTACGAATCGACGTCCTCGATGTTTTTGAACTCGCTATAACACACGTCAAACTCACACTCGAAAGCACAATCTTGAAAACACCCTAAAAAAATTTCATCCACCAACTCATAAAAAATTATCTCCTCAACTTCTTGAACGATAAGCTCGATATCCGAGTGGAGGTTTATCCATTTGGTGGACCCCACCAAGTCTTTCTTCAAGAGCCCGTCGAGAGGCAGAGACTGTGAATTCTGAAGAAGGCGCTTTTCGACTCTTTCCCACACGTCATGAATGAGGTCCATCCCTTTAGGCACCGGCCGAACATAAGTTTTAGTACTCGATGTTCCACTAAAGCACCCGAAGTAATCCTTGCAGACCTCCTCTAAAGCCTCGTTGGCACAGTGGAACAGGAGTTTCTGGTCGTGGTGGGACCGGCTTGAGAACAGCTCGACCTCGTCAAATAGTGAGGAGTCGAGGATTTCGTACGAGGAAAGCCACCTCAGGAGGAACTCGTCCCAGTTCAGACCCGAACCGAGTAGAACAGCCTCTACATATTCGAAAGCAGATTCTTCGCCCTCGGGTGAGATCCTTGTGCAAATGCCTTGGTCGTGATCGGAACATTGTTCTTCTTCGAAAATGATGTGTCGTGGTTCAACTTGATTCTCCTTTTCTACTGAATTGTCAGAAAATGATAGATATTTATTTTCAGCAAAAAAAAATTTAGCACGCAGAAAACATAAGGACAGATTATTTCAGTTCATTATTGATATGGACACTTAACAGAACTATGAATGTTACTTTAATAACCCAAAAAAAAGAAAAAAACACTCGTAATCTTAGATATATATATGGATATAACATAAAAGAAATGTTCTGCTTTAAATTAGGCAAACTCTTGCGTAGTTTTTTGTAATTATACAGTTATTAAGCATCTGACCCGGGTGAGATATAGTGCTTGCAGGACTAATATCGCCATCTGTGAATAACGGCTCAAGAACAGATACTGGACTGGGTTGCTCAATCTTTTCGATTGTACGATTCAAATCTTCAATTTCCGTAGTTGCTCGATCGGGTGGAGACAGTACTTGGTCATCCACAGATAAATGCTGGGCAAAAATCCAGAAAAATAAGATACATAATTAGAAAATTCGAAGGAAGATACAATGAGACAGAACAGCATAGCCTATCAAACAAGAATCCACCTGAGGATAAGGAGAAGCTTCTTCGTCTGGTTTCATTTTCAAGCAGATTGGTAATTGGTTCCTCTTTTATATTTTACACAAACAATGAATCATATTCGGTTCAAAATTATATCTTGTCGGAAATTATCATTTTCCAATTCCCTTTTCACGTAAAATAGTACCTCGGACATATCGCTTCAAATCTCTGCTCGGTATATAGCACAGGTATATCACTCGCTGTTTACGACTGCCATCATTACTAGCTGGCACACAGTTATATCTACTTAATGTATTTCCCTTTCTACATCAATTGTATGGGACCCACCACCAACAAATATACTATGATATGTGTGTATCTAATACTGATTGGTGGGACCTGGCCGCAGTCGAGTTTTAAAATAATCACAAAACATTTTGAAAAGTCCTCAAAACACAAAAATGCAAATATCAATGATAAATTTGCATTCAAAACTCTGTCAAAGCTACTCTACCAAACACATTTTGTTTCTCCGCCTATACAAAAGCAATAAACTCTCAATATCGATAACGAAGGTTCGGAAAATGGACAATGAGCACAAAATCATATAAGACCTCAATTCTCACATGTTATAAGTTCAGACTACTTTTTTAGCTCAAGAAAGAGTCAAATGATGGGAAAACCTTACCGATTTGAAGCACAGGGAACCACTTTCTGCATCGTCTACTTCTCTAGTGTCTCCATTTTGATTATCTCCACCTATTGAATTACGTGATGGTTGACATGACATATCAATGGCCTTTTCCAGTTGAACTGTATCATAAAATGAAAAAAGGATTACCAAATATTTTAGGAGCCTCCATAAATATCCATAAATAACATATGAAAAATTACCTTCAGAAACTACAGTATCATCATTAAAGCATCGAATTTCGAAAGAATATTCTCGATCATCCCCAATTGAATTGTCAACATTCGCAAGCATGGTTTGTTCTTTGTTGCCAGAGTTACTACAGGAGACACGGGGTTGACTTCCCGAATTTTTTTCGGTTAAACTTTGATCCTTTTTTACCATGCCATGTGGAGATAATCTCATTTGGGCAGCTAAGAAAATTTCATCTCTGTGCTTTTTAGGGCTAAGGCAAGGCGAAACATTATACTCAGGAAAAGAAAGAATTCTACCAAGGGGCTTTACCGAATTATTCCCAGACACTGACTCTGTATTCTCATCTCCACTCATTACCATCTCGGATAAATGCTTCTTAGCCTCAATGTAAATGTTGGATCCTCCAAGCCTCAGACTTTCCGAACCTTCGTCTTTCAACTTGCCAGCCGGCACACCTTTATTGAAGCTAAGAGAAGAAAGAGTGAATCTTTCCGTATAAAAATGGTTTCTATTAGGAGACTTCCACCCAAAACTTTCTCTCTTTTCACCATTATTACTATTTGAGGACTTAGGAGAAAGCCTCTCAGGCGAGATCCCTCGTCTCTCTTTTCCCATAGCATGCCTTATCTTTCTTTTAATCTCCATGAAAGAGAACTGAGATACATTTGTGTTTCTCTCATTATCAGCAATATCGGTCACCGGGCTTCCAGGCATGGTCGGCCCAGGCTTCAAGATGATGATTTTATTTGAAGATTGACTATCCTTATTATTATTATCCACTCCCTGGGGAAAGCTTTCAAGAGACTTGGTCCTCCTCCGGAAGAAACTACGATTTTTATGGCTACTTAACTCTACAGGCTTTGGGTTAACCGGCGAACAACGGGCCGCTTGATCCTTTTTGCATAATAAGTGAGCGTCATCAAAATTTTGGATGTGCTTAACCAGTTCAGAATTGGGATCCTCTAGAAGTTTCAAGAATAATCCCTTGTTCGAACTTAAAGTTTTCAAAGCATCTGTTAGCTCCAGGGAGCGAAAACTGTTCTCCTCGTCACCAAAACGCTTGCTGTTGCTTAATCTTTGTTCTATAAACAGCTTTACTGCTTGAACTAACTTCTCCTCGACTACAGTCATTGCCTCACTGGATGGTATATCAATATCAACATCATAATTCAGGATATTCGTTTTTTTCTGGTCAATATCTGCCAACTCTTGCAATATTCTTTCCAGGTTAAAATTACACAATGGCTTCTGGTGGCGATCTTGGTCCAAATCCATGTCGCATGACTTGGCTGAGCTTTTCGTTTTCTTTTGACTCTTTTTCATATGGTTTCCTGATTTTGATTTGATTTGTTCGGAACAAAAATTTGAGTCATTTGGTTGCTCTGGGCTTTGCTCATTGCACATTTCCTCTTCCATAAGTTCCTTCACACTTGTTTTAGATGCATCAGCCTTAGGCATTTTACTCTTTTCAGTGTCCTAGTTTAGCAAATAACATAATTAACAAAAAAGGGAAAAAAAAAAAAACGATAACTATAGAGAAGGAACCCAGAGGTTTAGGCCTACCACAAAATAACCAATTATCTATAAAACTATGAACCACCTCATTGAGTTTCTTTCTTTCTTCCCTCTCGATTTTACGAAGAAAAAAAAAAAGGGACACTCGTATTCAGTGTTTAATTTCTAAAACACGATAGATAGCAAGGAAATACACTAAGTAAATTCAAGCAATAGTTTTACGTCTTTTAAAGCTAAACCTTAAAGGTAACTTGTAATTGAACTTCACAACACAAAGTCAAACTATAAGTCAGCAGGATAGCGAAAATACCATACCACTGAAGTTTCACACTCTACAGTTGAACTCGGCGAAACTATGTTGTTACTCAAATGGCCAGCGCCTGAAAAAAGACGAGGTACAGTTTGTTACAAATCAAAAATCGAAGTTCCTGAAAGAAGATCAAGAATTGTTTCATTAACATTTACAAATAAACTCTTACACTCAGCTTGCTTGCTCACTTCCTTTCTGTCTGTAAGCAATCGTTTAGTGGATCGACCTTGACGAAAGCTAAACACATTAATTAAACCAGATATGCAACCAGCTGGGTCTCTTTCATGTCTTGACGGCCGTCTTTTTGATCTCTTAGCCATTTTGAGTTTTACCTGGCTTTACACTTTACGGTGCAATAAACCCACCTAATTATACTCCAACTGCTGCAAGTTTAGCCACCCACAAGTTTACTTACTTAATACTAGAAGTAAAACAAGAACCACTTTTCGACAAAAGTATCTCAATCTCTTCATTCAAAAGACACCAGAACACAAAACAGAACACTCGAAGGGGAGGAAAGAAATTAATAAATTAATAAAAAAAAAAAAAATTGCAACTTAAAAAGTTCCGAATGTAATGCAAAACTACAAGGTTGCACCCACTAGACTAGTCATTCTTATTCGAAATGCTAGCACCAAAAGCCACTCAAACAGTTCAAAATTTCAAATCCACTAATGCAAACAAAAGTCGTCCACAAACTCTGAAAATGACGGCCAATGTGGTCACTTTGAGTGGAACATTTTATCTTTTTGTCATACAATACCGACCGACTGAAATTGAAAAATGGTTGCTCCAGCCATACTTGTGTTCCCGTTCACGGAGTGGGTCCCACTCCAAGGGTGGGGAGGGGGTGTGATAGGAAGTACTCAACAAACATAAAGCTTGCTCCTTCAGCATTAGGGGACAAGCAAATTGTTTCATTGGAATAAATAGTTCATAGATTGGCAAAAATTTCACAATCTGAAAACTTCAAAAGAATACATTCAATTGGGGTAAACCACAAATGAAAAGAACCATCTCTTTTTCTAATTTCTATGAACAAATCAACTGAATAGTAAGCATTAGGTGAAACTTAATGTACAATACCAAGGACAATTTTTTGGTGAAGAACTAAATTCATCATGAAAATACTTTCCAAGGCTGATAAGAGCATGCAAATCTCCAAAAAATATATAGTGAACAAAATTTGAACAGAAAAGTCAATAAAAAGGAGAAGTATATCATCAAATAAGCAGCAAAACTGAAGATACTATTTGATCTCCCATAAAACATGGGATTCCTAAGGTGAAAAATAAAAAAAAAAAAATGATAAAGGACTCACCTGAAATTTCATACAACATGCAGGCCAATAATCTTCATCAACAACAAAAATTGCAAATTTTTTTATTCTGGGTTTTTTTCTTAATCCCCTTGGAAAAGTCGACCAATGTATCTTAAAAATATCCAGTGTTTGCTTTCAAGGATAAATTACAAAGCAATCTCACAAAACTGTACACAAAACCAAGTAACGATTGTATACACAAGATTTCAGCTGGGAAAATAAATCCAACAAAATTTACAGCAGTCAGCTCCTCAATCAATATTTTTCACACTCTAGAAAATTATGGAGAATCTAGAAAAAAAAGCCCCCCAAAAAAGAAAAAAATCAGAGGGTGAAAAAAAATCAAGACAGCCCCACAAAACCAAAGAAGACCCAATTTTTTTTTAAAAAAAAAAAAACAATCTTGACAGGTATTTACAAGCATTCAACACGCAAGAACAAAGAAAATGTAGGAGAAAATATGGGGGAAAAAAAAAAGAAAGAATAAATGAAAAAGGTGGAGGAAAAGATTAAAGCTTTAGTGCTCGGATGGGTGAGTATGTAATTCCAATTTCCAAGCCGACCAAAAAGAGAGAGACCCATGGGTGAAAATCACCAACCCACTTATTAAAATGGAGAGCAAGGATTAGGTGTCGGGCAGCCATTAAAGACTGTAAATTTAGATAATAATAGAAAAAAA